GAGGAAAACAAGATGGCAAAGGGTAAAATGAGCTATAAGGTCCTGGTAACCACTCCTGGAACAGGAGTGCTTCAGACCTCTGCTGGCGAGCCCTGGCGGGCTCTGGACACTGACCACCCCCCAACACACACACTCATCCAAACATTTTTGTTGAACAGTTACATGAGCACCAAGACAGGGTCTTGTTTCCTTCTGGAACTTTCCTCTTGCAGTCTCCCCATTACTATCTCTCCCTCAGCACCTGCTCCCTCTGCCCCAACCCCAGGGATGCCCTCACTGCCCCCAGCCTCTGAATCTATGTCCTCCCCTGTCCCCTCTCTGCCTCTCTGGTCCCCTCTCCCCTCCCTTTTCCATGGCTGATGCCTCAGGCCCAACCTTATCTCAAACTGCCTGACTCCTGTTCTGTGGAAATCCAGTGCCCCCATCAAGCTGACCCCCGTGCTCCTTTGACAAACATGGACAGAGCCCGTCCTCGTGTCTGCACATCCAGGCACAGCGAGGTGGCCATGAGAAGGCAGGGGAAGCGCTGAGTGCTGGGTGTTGTTGGACTTTTTATTTACTGAACTATAATTCACATACAGTAAATTCACCCTTTTCACCTACAAGTCTTTGAGTTTGCACAAACATGTCCAGTCCTGCAACCACCCCAGGTACAACATAGGACACCGTTGTCATAAACTTCCCTCTCTTCTCTTATAGTCAGTCCCCACCTTAGATCTCAACCCCCCAGATTCCGACTTTCCCAGAAAATCACAAGAATGGAACCCTACAGGATGCAGCCCTGAGTCTGACTTATTTCACTCAGCGTGGTGTAGCTGAGGTTCATCCACATTGCCATCCTCATGAATGGTGTCTTCCTGTTTATTTCTGAGTCATGCCCATTGGATGCCTGGGCCACATTTGTTTACTGATTCACCAAAGTCCATTTTGCATAAATAATGCAGGAGAAAACCAGGCTCCGGGAGAGCTCCTTGGCTGTGGAAGTTGCTCATCCACAGATTGGCATCTGTTGTCTCTCTGGAAATCCTTCCTTCTCCCAGCCACTGCCTATCTGTTCAAATTCCCTTTCTTCATTTCAGGACTTATTAAAATGCCCTTTCACCAAGACAAAGGAGGTTTACTATGCTGTGCCACAGACTTGTGAAGTGAGGCTCAGAACACAGAGCACCCTGCAAGGGTCAGAGCTAGAGTGTCGCAGGGAAAGAATCGGAACCCAGGGCCAAGAACAGGGTAGCCTGGAGGCCAAAGCTCAAGCCCTTGGCTGGCTGGAGGAGAGCTGGGAGGCTGCAGCCTATGCCGTGTGTCTCAGGTCTCAAATGCCCCAGTCTGAGGGTGGCAGAGAAGGGGTTGAGCCAGTCCTGATGTTGGGTGAGGGCCAGGAGAGCAGTAGGTCCCACCCTGGCCCACTCCTCCACTGGAATCTTTCCTCTGCCCTACTGGTGTCTGAGCCCTAGACCAGCCCCAACCCCCACCGTCCAGGCCAGCGTTGGCCTCTAGAGCCCCAGCCCAGCTCAACTGGGTCCATATGGCCCAAATTATCCATCCCAAAGCCCTGGCTGGTGGGTGGCCATGGCAAATTGTGTGATGAGACCCAGCTGTGGTTGTCCTTTGTCCCACCCAGGCACTTGCAGCCTCAGGTCCAGTGGGGACTCAGTGAAGATAATTAGGGAGCTCCGGTCTCAGGACAACCTCAAGCTACCCTGATTCCCCAGCCTAGTTCTCAGACCTGGGTAATCCCTGAGGCACAGAGTCTTAGAACCTAGTCTGGCAAGTAGCGACCTTGGACAAGTCTTCTGAACTAGGGCCCCTGAGGAATGATCTCAGGGCAGATGCCCAGAAGACTCAACTCAGGAATGAACTTGCTGTTTGACTGCCTATAGTAGAAAACCAGAATCTGAAAAACTGCATTTTAATTCAGGTTCAAAGAGGTTCTTATGCATGGAAAAGCCTAAGTCCAGCCTTAGCATAGCTCTACTTACTCTGCCCAGTCCGATATCTCTAATCAGCTGCACATTAGGATCTCTGGGGACTAGGTTAGAGAGGGAGAGGGTCACAAGAGGTGTCTGAGAAGATGAGGGGGGAAGAAAATGGACCACAATTCGTAGTGGGATCACAGCAGACAGAACTTCCTGGTGGAATGAGTGTGGCAGGTAAGAAAAAGTGAAGTCAAGGTTAACACCTGAGTTTGGTGCTTTGGAAATGAAAGGGGGCATTGACTGAGATGGGAGAGTGGCTGGGAGCTTCAGGGACAGGGCAGTGGGAATGTAAAGAATCGGAGGTCCACGCAGGATGCTATATGTTTTAGATGTTTGCTGGAAACCTGTACAGAGAGGCCGAAGAGGTGGGACATTCACGGGAGAAGTCCAAGAGGGAGATGGTGACAGTACTGTTAGCACAGGGGACATGGAAGTCCAGGAGCAACTTCAGGTCTGTGTCAGGTCCTGATGCACTGGGGGCCTTGGGTCCTCCAGCATTTGGTACCTGGTGAAGCTTATGGAACCTTCTCAAGAACACATAGAACAATACACAAGAACCCAAAATAATATTGAAATCATAATTAAAAAGTAAATCTGTGATAAAGGCGAAGAATTATCTAGTGGTGGTTTTGATAATGTCCATAATTCCAAAGTTACAGGGAGAAAAAAATCATATTTGAAGACACTGAACCACTATGTTGAATATGAAAATATTTGTGATCTCTATTGGCTATGAGGTCACAGAAGCAATAGGACGAGCTGGTTGGTGGGCTAAGTTCATAACAAGGAAATGACAAGTTTTAATTACACATTCACTGAAGTTCTTGGACATACTGAATTCTCTGCTCAGACCCTGTGATCCCACATTGATGACCCTAGCTTAAGAGAGAGACAGAGAAAGACAGGAGGGTCCAGGACTGGACCATGAAAGCCCCCAGAACATAGGAGCCTGACAAAGCAGAGGGCAGCCAGGGACAAGAGGAATTCAGGACAGAGTCCTCTGGAAATTCTTCCACTGGCCGTGCCGCTGGCAGGCTCGGTAGCACAGGAGAGAAATGTCCTTTGAGTATGGCATCAAGCAGGGCCCTGAAAAGGGGTATAACATGAGCCAGGAGGGGGTTTCCTGAGAGTGGAGAGACATGTTGGGGAGTACATTCAAGAATTCAAAACCACAGCTACTGTTTAAAGTATTTGCATATGTGTGAAATGTACCATAAGTGCACATTGCTGTGTTTAAGGTAGGCTGGGTGTGGAAGTGAGAACATGGAGTTTGGTGCTGCAGGAAGCACGGAAACTAGAGAGCAGCGGGCGGGGCTGTGGGTTATTCTCAGGTGGGAGCTGGGAGAGCGCATTTGTGCATTGGGAGGGACTGGTAAGCGGTGATGACGCTGAGGAAGGAGGCGGAGATCTGAGGGCCAAAGGCCAGGGGAAGCTCCGGGTCCCTGCACTCTCCAAGCCCAGGCTTCTCACCCTGCAGCCAGTGTCAGACAGAGCCAGAGGCTGTTGAAGGGCAGACAGCTGGGATGCTTGAGCCCCTGTGTCACAGGTCTGGGTGGGCCTGGAAACTTGCACTTCTAACCAGCTCCCAAGTGGTGCTGAATTTGGACCCACTTAGAGGAAAGCCCTGCTTTAATCAAGCCTAGCACCACCAGGTGCACCCCTCTGGGGTAGACAATGAAATCCAACCTGCAAAAGTACCCCTGGAAGAGGCAGGGACAGGGTGCACCCATGAGACCAAACAAAGGGAGGAGATAAAGGAGGCAGCAGCCACAGCCTGGCCTCCAGCCCAGCTCACCACCTCTCCCTGGGAGCCCTGGTTTCCCAGGGACCTTTGGAAGCACCCCACCCTCTGCGGCCTCCCTGAAGACTGAGGGAGAAGGTGAGGGAAGGAGCGAGGGACAGGGTGTGGATGGTGGCCTGAGCCAGCAAGAGCAGAAGAGAGGGAGACATGGAGTCAAGACAGAGAGAAGCAGGGAAAGCTCTCTCTGCATGCAGGCCCCAAGCCTGAGGACATACTGTGCACCTCTACAACTGGAGCCTGGTGTCAGACCAGCCCTGCCTCCTAGCTCACAGGAAAGCACAGCCTTGTTAATGAAATGAACAACAGCATGTGGGATCATAGCACCCTTGGAGACTAGAGTCCAACCCTGCTTGGCAGAAAGACAAGGCCAGAAGTTAGAAAGCACAGCCTGGCAGATGGACCTGCGAACTGTACAAGGGAAAGATGGGGCCAGCCCCCGCTGGCTGCTCTCCCTTGAAAAGCTGGGGCCAGTGCATGACTTGGGGCCTCTGCTCTGACCCTTGCTGCTCCCCTTTAGTATCAATTCATTAAGCATATGTTTATTAAATATCTGCTGTGCACCAAGCATTGGCTGAACACAGAGATAAAGCGATGAATAAAATCAAGTTCCTGACCTCATAGACTTGACATTCTAGAGAGCAAGAGAGAGAACAGGGAGATAGACATGCAGTGTAGATTCAGAGTGTAAGTGGACAAAGAGACCAGAGATGACAAGAGGGATTGGGCCATGTAGGTGGAGGCTAGAGTGGTTGGGCGAAAGGTTCATGCTGGAGCTGGAATAGCATGTGCAAAGGCTCTGAGGTGGGCAGAGGCTTACTTGTGAGAAGGATGTTCTAGAGGCTTTGCACATGGAGAGGAGGAAGGGAGGGAGGCAGGCTAAGACAGGGAGCGAGAGTGCTGTCCCAGGCAGGGAGGAGCCTGCTGTCATGGGGAGGACTTTCGCTTTTTCTCTGTGTGAGATGGGGACCGTTGGATGTCCCTATGAGAAAAGAGAGTGTGGCTTGACTTAGGCTTAACAGGGTCCCTCTGGCTGCCAAGGGGAGGCTGGAGAAAGCTGAAAAGCCAGGAGAAAGCTGCAGGAATAATGCAGGCAAGGGCTGGGGATGGCCTGACCTGGCACGTGCTGAGCCACTGGTTGCTCTGTGGTTCCACATGGAGACACTTAGGAGGGACAAAAGCTGCCCTAACCCCTGTCTGTGACCCAACCCACTGTGCCCCTGCAGCTGGAGGAGAATATCCAGACCATCTTGAGGACGGAACTGCAGCAGGCCCAGCAAAACATAGTCCAGAAGCACACAGGCTTCATACTGGAGCTGGGCACCAGCCTCCTGGCCCAGACCACAGCCCAGACCCTCAAGCTGACCAACATGGAGGCCCAGGTAATCAGGAGCGAGGGGGTGGGTACCCAGGCTGTGCTTTGCCTTGGCCTGTTCCTAGGTAAACTTTTTTAAATCGAATTTTGTAAATTTAACTAAGAGCATCTAATATTTTAAGAAAAGCTTATTGCTTAAGTGATATACTTAATAAGATTTCTTGGGGTGTGCCACCATAAGACCCTGGGGGAAAGACTGGAAAGACACCCAGTAGTGGAGAAACTGAACAAATGGTTTCAGGCAGCTGCTTTTTCAGCCACAGAGGGAGTTTTGTTCAGCAGTTTCCCAAGCCAAAAGGATCCCCACTTATTTATCTTAACAATTACTTTTGATGACTCATGAGAAACAAATCATAACAATTAATACTTTTGTAAGCTATACATTTTATTTTAGATCAAGGAAAAACTCTGACAAACACAGACAGCAATAGACAGTGTATTTATAAAAACAGTTTTGATACTATCTTGATGGGCTAATAGCCTGCATAGAAACATGTCACCAACTTTAAAAACGTCTTTACTCTTACCTGATTAACCAGTTTAAATTAGCTCCCTACTAATCTGTGCAAACAAAAGCATCTGGGCTATATAATGAGTGTTCACCTATCTATAAGACAACTTAAATAAAAACTTTGGAGGACAATATCTGAAAGTTAACACACAGAAACAGGTATTAATCTAAATTACACATATCCTTTATGTTACTAAATGTGTAAGCTTTTATTTGCAAGTCTCACATGAGCCTCAAGCTCGTCAGCCCTCATCTTGTAATGTCTTAATTGAGTTTGACCACCCCAAAAACCTATATACTGATTATTCACAAAGTACAACAATAGCCAGAAGTTTACAAGGGCAAAAAGAGTAGGAAAAATAAATTGATATGAACTCAGAAAGCTTTAATGAAATAGTAGTGGGTACCTTAATCAGCTATTAAAATAGATTAAACAGGCAGACAAACAAGAAACATAGAACACACAAAATAATTACTTTTAAACCAGAATAAATGCTCAGATATATTGGCCAAGTTGAGCTATAATGATCTGTTATAGTTTAAAGTTTATACCTGCAAATACACTAGTCAGAACTTTTCTTAGGAGTCTTTAATTAACACTTTTTAGGTGAATCATAACAGATCTCTTGTAATAAGTTAATACTAACAAGAATCAGAAGGGAAAGGAGAGAGAAACCTCCACAGTATGAAAGCAGGGACTGTTTAAAAAAGCATTAGGTTGATGGTTTATCTTAATCTTGGAGTAGCCATCACCACAGTACAGGCTCCTTGGGGCTCTCTGAAGTAGAGTAATTATGGTAAACTGCTCTTTTGACAGCTGTTCCTCTGTATTAGTTATTAATGTAAACTGCTTTTTTGATAGCCACAACAGTTTTTTGTAAGGTTTCTTTTTTCTCAATTCTTAAGGATACAGCCCAAGAAGAAGTAACCAGAAAGGCCTTTCCAAGTCCCATCTCTGGGCATCTGTAAGACAGGCCAGGAGCAAAGGACATCCCCTTTACATCCTTTGCTGCTCTTTCTCCTCCACCTCTCCCTGCTCTCGACAGCAGGAGAGGGGACCATGCTCCATGAGCTCATGGACATTAGCCACACTATGTGTTGACACGTTGTCCCAGGAGGGTGCACCTAGGGCCTGACCCTCATACTAGATAGATAGGTTCGGGTCCATTACCCAGTCTCCAGAAAACAGGGACAGTAATGCCAAATGGCTGTTGTCCAGAAAAATAGTAGTTCCTCTCCCAGACCCTGAAGAAAGTGGTTGAGACTGAATCTATAGTGATCCCTGCAGCAGGCCACCTGACTAAAACTTGAGGCAAGCCCACCCTCAACTGACTAAGGAGAAAGGCAGCTGTGAAGTGAGTTCAGAAATTAGCGTCACTGTGAGCAGTGGGAGAAATGCCTCACCAGAGTGACACTAATCTCCTGTGTATTATAATGGGACCAAGGCATAAGAGACTCTTCTTCAACCTTAACTCTGATTGTTAGATACCTTCCCCAGGGAGCCCAGGGCACAATCTGCCAGGTATTAGCTCCCTGGAAGCTAGGGCAAGGGCCAGACACCAGGGGAATCAGCATTGAGGGAGCCTCGAATGTGAGCTAGGATCCTAACCTGTTCCCAGCCCACTAAATCTATCAAGACACCTGAAGAAGAAGGGGTCTGTTACACTAGCAGAGAGAATAGCCCAGACCTGCAGCTCAACTCTTAATGGAGGGTTATGAGAAGGTTCTGATGGAGGGGGTCTCAGGACCCCTGGAAAGGGGATACCTGGAACACTGAGAGAGTTTGCCTCTTATCTCACAGAGGAGTGCAGGCTGGACATGCTAGGCAGGCAGAAGTTCCTCTGCTGGACACCCTCTTTGGCTTCAGGGACCTGGTTTCAACCAGAGGACCTTTGAACACCCACTGGAGAGCAACCCCAGCGTGAGCCTTGCAATTGTTACACTAGCTTTCACCAGTTCCTCACATCCAGAGGTCTGCCTGAGAGGGAAATCCAGCTCCTGCTTGAATAACATCCCCACTGTCTCCAGGGTTTCAGTGGGGGATTAACCAAGAGGTTGCTAGGGAACCTGTCCACTGTTTCAAGAGTAGCAGCTGCCCATGATTTTAGTAGCTTTAACTGGTGTCAGGGTGCCAATTATTTCCTAGAATGCAAAAAGGATAGAAAAAGAAAGGGAAGTACAGTCCTTCTGCCACACTTACTTCTCCATAAAGAAGGGCACCCCACTTTGGGCACCAAAGATGCTACCTTTCTTTGAACTCTCATTCGACAGAAGATAAAAACACCAACCACAGAATTGAGGAATGAACCAAAAGTAGAGATACTAGAGAGTGTCTAGTTTCTCATTGCTGAGACAAAATACCCAATACCCACAAATTAGAGGAAAGGTTTATTTTGCTAACAGTTTCTAGAAGTTTCAGTCCATAGTTGGCTGGCTGCAAGGCACAGTAGCATGGAGGATGGGCATGGCAGAGAAAACAGTCTAGGGCAGGGCAGGCCTGAGGCAGCAAGCAGCATTAGTGAGCCTCCCTTTCCCTCTTTATTCCATCAGGCTACAAGCCTATTGGTTGATGCCATTCACACCTAGGGTGGGTTTTCTGTCTTCAATAAATCTATTCAGCCACATTCAGAATTATGCTAAGCCAATCAGTGAACTAATCCAGTTACACATATCCATAATCCATATTCCCATACCTTAGATCCACCTCTGAAAAGCTTCACTGATGAGCGCATGAGACTAGGGGAGGACATTTAGGTATAAGCTACAACAGAGATAACAAAGAAAAGCTCTTGGTAGCTGAAAGGGACTCCAACTGAGGATGTCAAGGAGGCATCCAAGTTCAGGGGTTTATACACAAATTTTAGTGAGGTATTTGGTGGACATGCAAAAGATGAAGCAATGTGGTTGCTGTTTTTAACTAGGCCTCCGACCTTAGAACAGATTTCCCTTGCACCCCAACTTTGCAGAGCATTTCTTAGTTTACCCAAGGCCCTGCCCTTTGAAACAAAGCGGTTGCCATTTTTAGCTGGGTGTCAGGAGAACAGATTTTCCCCGCCCTCTAGCTTTGTGGGGCACCCTTCAGTGAGCCTCTTTTCCTTTCTATCCCAGTTTTCCCAGGGCTTATCTCAGTTTACTCAGGTCCTTGTCCTAGCTACCTTTGGTTTTCTATCTCCTGGTCTCTGCAGGAGCACCAGGGGGGACTGTGAGCAGAGGGGCTACATTTGAAGAGGATGCCTCTGCCTGCTACGTAGGGAATTGACTATAGTGACAAGGGGAGACAAGGGAGCTGTGTGAGGAGGCCAACGCAGGATACTGGGCAAGAGATGACAGAGTCCAGTGCCACACTGGGGGCCTTGGAAGGAAGTGGTCAGGAACCTATGGTAGGGGTGGCTGACAGCACTTGGTGATGGAACAGATGTTGGGTCACTGTCACATGCAATGATGGGAAGGGCAGAAAGTAGATCATGCAGTTGGGTAGGACCTGTGTTCAAGCGATCTCACAAGTGACCACAGAGACTAACAACTTGGAGGGTGGCTCCTGGTCAGCAAACACCAAGAGTGACAGGCCTGTGGACAGGTGGGTGGCAGCTGGGCTCCTGTTGGGTTAATAGAGCTCCCACCTTTCTGCTCCCTGGGATAGGTCCTGAACCAGACGTTGAACATGGAAAAACAGATGCTGGAGATGATGCAGACTACTGAGAAGCTGGGAAAGCAGATGCAGGAGCAGAATCACACACTGCACCATCTGCACGGCCACAACAGGTAGGTCCTGCTGGCACATGGTCCTGCTGGGGGATGGGTCAAGCCAGGACTTGAGCTCAGAACAGAGGTTAAAGCTGGGGCTAGGGTTGGGCCTGGCTGCTGGACCTGGGCCAGTATCTGGGATGGGACCAAGGCCTGGATTAGGGTAGACGAGAGGGATGGGGGTGTGGGCTGAAGCTTTGACTGGGCCAGGGCTAGTAAGGACTGGAACCAGACTCAGAATCCAAAGGAGCTGGGAGGAGGGAGGGCACTGGGCCGGGGATGAACTGAGAGCCAGGAGGCCTAGGTCACAGCCCCCAGCATTGAGTAAGGACTGAGAAGGGGCATGTTCTTGGGCTTAGGACATTTTGATTCTTTCTCTTGTTTTACCATCTTCCTGTTCATAAAATTTTAACTGCTTTATAGAGGTACAATTTATACCATAGAATTCATCCTGTGCATTTTAATTTGCTTTACTGACAGAGAACCATCAGTAAAGACAGAGAACTCTGATATCCTAGGCAGATTTTACCCTGGTTTGTTTATAGCTGAGTAGAGAAAAGCTGCCAAGGTCAGAATTCCAGAGGAGGCAAAACCTACTGAGTGAATAGCCCTGTAAACAGGATCAAGATGCTTTTCCTTGCATGTGTTGGGTCCCATGGGCATGGCTATAAGTTCCATCCTCTTCCTCTGACCTGGGTACTGTTGGTAGAGGTTCTTATTCTCATTCCCCCCCCTCTAAGTTCCAGGTGGCAAGAACTGGGTAATTTCCTAGCAATCAGAATTGGGCAGCTCTATAAAAAATACACGGAGATGGAAAACTTTATTAATAAGTTCTCGGTCCATGAAGACAGCTAGAATTCTAGATTTCAAGTGTGCCCAATTGGTAATTGTAATTTGGGGCCCAGAGGCAGTTACTTGTGCCCTGGCTGGATTTAGTTCT